ATTGTAAGTTTTATTGATTTTTAGAAAGAGGGAGGGAGAGATAGAAACATTGATGAGAGAGAAACATCAACATCAATCAGCTGCCTTTTGTGCACCCCTTGCTGGGGATCCAGCCCACACCCTGGCATGTTCCCTGACCAGGAATCAAACCTGTGACCTCCTGTGCGTGGGTCAACACACTCAACCACTGAGCCAGGGTAGTCGGGCTTATAAAACTTTGTTTATTGATTTTTAGAGAGGAAAGGAGAAAGAGAAACAAACATCAATTTCTTGTTCCACTTATGTATGCATTCATCGGTTGATTCTTGTATGTGCCCTGACGGATTATCAAACCCACAAACTTGGTATATCGGAACTACGACACTAACCAACTGAGCTACTCAGCCAGGCTAAACCCTCTCTCTCTTGCGTAGAATTTTCAACTCCTCTCAAGCTAACATTTTTGTGAAGGAAATTAGCCATTTTCCATACTAGTAATGCTCTCTCTAGTTCATTTTGCTTTCTTCTGTTTTAAATTTATTTGAGAGTCGGGAACCAGGATCACCAGACTCTCAAAGTCTAGATATACCCTCTCCCATTATCTGCCCCCAACACACACACTCTCCTTATTTTTAGAAATACAAATCTTGCATAGTTGGTTCTCTTTTCAGAGAATCCTATGCAGCAAGACTTTTCCTAGTTATATAATGCACTTTTCTTGCCCGGCATGTAAGTAAAAGCTTACTTTAGTTTGACTTGATATTTAGAGAGGAAGATGCCAATTGGGAAGAAGCCTGTCAGTTTGTCGAGCCTGCCCATGACAGGTGGGGTGCGGAGGAGCTTCTCTGGTGACGAAGAGTTGACTCCTCCTCCATATCGAACCCTGCCAGCACAGACAGCCCTGGAGGCCTTCCCACCTCCCAGCACTAGCCAAGAGTTCAGTCCCAGCCTCAAAACAGGTAACTAGTGGCCTCACACCTCAGGTACTGCAGAGGGCCAGGTCTGGGCAGGGTGGTGGGAGACGAGGTCTGGCATGCCAGGTGCGGACTCATTAAGTTTTTCGTTTCTTTCCACTGAAAACTTCATTGTCACTAGTCCTCCTCGATAGTCACGTCACTCCTAGTGAAAGATGAGTCATCAGGGAAAGAAGGTTTTTTATCTTGTTATAAACCATTTCTGAGCTTTAAATTAGGGTAAAGTTATACTTTCAGTTTATGGAATGGTTAGGCAACTTGGATTAGTTCATGGTTTCATTGGAATAGTTGAACATTTGCCTTACAGAGTTCTATTTGACTTGACGGGGGCGGGGGAGAGAAATGTGCCGTTAGGGATCTATCTGATTAATCACATCCAAAGATGAGGCTTTGATCATAGCATTCCATGGCATCTCATTCATTAGAAAGGATGTATTTTGTGTTTCAGTGTAATCTTGGTTCTGGTGATAACATTTACCACAATCTTTAGTTGAAGTAACATGGACTTGGAAATACAGTACCCAACTAATTTTGGTGTTGAATTTTAGTGAAATTTGTTTTCATAATTTCATGTTTACTTACATATAATAATTGAGTTGTATTTCATTTGAGTTTAATTGGTTAGGCTGAGTTGATAGGTTGTTAGGAAGACTACAGAAGGTTTTGCACTCCGACAGACTGCATTTGCGTGGGATGAACTATAGTGAATATGAGCACAGGTCAGATGGCTGAGAACCACAGCCGTGTCCGCCTTGGCATATCTTCTGCCACATCCTAACTGTTGCTTTAAAGCAGGTGGTTTTACCTGACCCGCATGGCTTAAAACGCCTTTTGTGCATTGAAAACTAAGGTGGGACTGATACCTGCTTTCTTCTCACTCCTCTGTTTGCTAATTTATTTATTTGATTGGTTGGTTGGTTGGTTGGTTGGTTGGTTGGTTGGTAATATTTTTGCACCTCAAGTTATCAGCCTTTTTTTTTTTTTGCCATTTTAAGATGTGTTCTTTAGTTTTTGCCTAACGGCATTATTAGGTCATCTTGATCCTTCCCAGTCTGTTTTCTCTGATGTCCTTATAGCTAGAGGAAATTACACACATATATGTATATATATGTAATAGATTAGGACTGCAAACCCAAATTTATCTACTCTTTAACGGAAGAAACTTCAAAGTCTATCTAAAGAACATTACCATTTTCTTTCTTGTTTGTCTCTTTAATTGTATCTTTTTGTACTTGTTACATATGAAATCGCCTTCAACGTATGTAATTATAGATATTGTGAGCTCTGGATGTATTTGAATTTTTATTGGACTTTAGTTGTATTGTCTTTAGGAATTAGACTGATTTTGAAGATGGGTGTCACGTTTTGTGAGCGGTGACTGGTTCGTGTAAAATGAAACTTGACTTCTGGGATTGGCAAAACCCAGGCACTTAGCTAGATGCCTGTGGTGGGAACCCAGGCCTCAGTGGTTTCCTTCTCCCACCTGTGTCTGTAGTGCCCTCTGAGCAGGAGTACATCTGTGGGACCCCTGTGGCCTTACTCTGGTGAAACAGGACTACCGTGTCTAGACTGTGTCAGAGCGGCGGTTGATTAGCTGTTGAGTTTATTGTATCTACGGGCTTCTTGCTAGAAAAATGTGATTCCCATTCGCGTGTCTCCTGAAATGTGTTAATGACGAGAGTCAGCAAAGTGACTCCTTTAAACAGAGCTAAGGAAAGTGCATTTGTGTAGAAAGTGAAAGGTAGCCACGGGATCTATTTTATTTCATCCATCCTTCATTGAGAATAAGACCTGGAAAGGAGAAATGATGAGTGTGAAGATACCAGGCAGGCTTTATTTTAGGTTCCATGAAAACAAACACTGCATTAGAACATTCCACATCTGAGTGAATGTTTCACCTTTATCTTGAGTTACTTTTTTTTAAGCATATTGTTTCCATATTTTAACATGAGTAGAAGCGTAATCCAGAAATTTGTTGTTAATAATAAATGCACATAGTTTCAGGATGTGCTTTAGAATCTCAATTTACCTTTCTTGCATTTAAAAAATCAACATCTGTTTGAATGGAACATGTTTGGTCTTGAAGCACGTTAATTCTTTTTCATTCATTTAGCCATCTGATCATCATATAACAAGATACTGTTTTAATCAACCTTTTATTGTGGGTACTGCACCTTTAATGAAACTTGGGGTTGTTTTTTTTTTCTTTTTGTGTGTTTATTTTCATGGTATTGTTCAGATGTCCTTAACAATTAATGCATGTTGGTTAGATTTAAAGGATATATACTTGCTATTCTTCATAAAAGCATTTTTATTAAGTACTTTTTTAAAGAAAGGAAAACTGTATAGTCTTGTTTGCTTTACCTTTCAACAGTCTGATTGGTATTTGTTTTGCTATTATTAGGGTATAGTGTATTCACTTTTCTGTCTTTGGGCTATTGAGTTTTTTAACATCATTACAGAAACAAGTAACAAAGTAAAATAAGATGAATTGGCATCTCTGTAACAGTTATTCTTTTAATTATTAAATAAGATATCAAAGACCATTATTTTTGAAACTAATCTTTTGTAACTAAAATCAAGACATGGTATTTTTCTATGCATACACTGTTTACTCCCCTATGAAAACTTAGTTGGCTTACTACTCATCTAAACAGAGCCCTCATTCTCCTCATAAATCAACTGTTTTTTCTGTGTAAGCAGTTCCCACTTTACATTCTATATATACGCATCCCCTCCAATTGTGATGAAAAGATCCACAATGGAGGATACAGAGCACTTTTTTCCTTTTCTGTGAGCCTGTGCCTGCAGAAAGCAAGCAGGTTTCCTCCGTGAGCCCGACATGGTGACGCGGGTGTGGGAGCCTTGTACTGCCGGTGCTGCCAAGGTAGCAGCAGCCAGCCGCCCCCACTGCACAGAGCCCTTCCCAGTGCTGGTCTCATGTTGCCAGGGTTTTGTGTGAAATCTCTTGGTTTCAAAATAATCAAATTTAAAATGAACCAAGGGAGACATCCTGGGACCAGCCTGCGTCACGATGACCAGTGAAGAAGGGCAGGCCTCGGTGGCTGTGGTCAGAGCCCTGGCCTGATTCTGGGTTTAGTCACTCTGCTGTTAGAACGGCTTTAACAAAACCCCACCCCAATGTAAAACTTAAGAATCTTAATAAGAAATGTCAAGACCCACATTAAGAAAATAAATGCTTTACTAAAGGATATGGAAGAGTTGGATAAGAGGAGAAACATTCCCTTTTTCTGGATGGAAAAGTTAATACTGTATGGATTCATTCTAACTAAATTAGAGATTTAACACATTTCCGTTAGTGTCCCAGTTGGTCATTTTTCCATGTATTTCACATATGACAGTGCAGTTCATCTGGAAGAATCAATGTGGGAGAGTAATAAAATACAAATTTTAAATAAATTATGTTAATACAAGGGGCTTATTTGATATTAAAATAAACCATGAAGTCATAGTGATTAAGCTAGTGCGGTATTGGCAGAGGAGAGGTCAGGAGAAGAGAGAATCCACAAACACATTTGAATAAAATGAACCAAGGGACACAGGTAAGATGGGGAAAGCAGTTTGTTGCCTCTGATTAGCAGATCTGGGCGAAGAAACTTAGCATTGCTCACCATGGATTAGGTTCCAGTGAGTATGTTATACAAGATCACCTGTTCTTGAAATTCTTTGAAACTTGACCAACTCAGTTTTGGTTCAACAATAACTTTTTAAGAAACCTGAACACAACTCTTGAAGGTTGGCTGTTATTAAGACTTACTTTTAACACCTCGCTGAGATCTTTTTTTCTTTTTAGAGAGAGGAAGGGTAAGAGAGAGAGAGACATCATCTGGCCTGCCTCCCATACGAACCCTAACTGGGAATCGAATCCCCAACCTGGGTATGTGCCCTGACCAGGAACTGAACCTTCACCTTTGGATGTATGGGACGATGCTTCAGCCAGCTGAGCCACCCGGCCAGGACTGGGGTCATTTTTATTTAAAATGTGGGAAAGTGATTTTTTGGAAGGAACGAGTTCTGTAGGAAGTAGGGGTAGCTCTCAGGGAAAGGAATTAGAACAGTCAGAAGTTACTGAGTAATTATGCGAAGGGACAGCCATTTAAATTGAGGGGCTTATAAAAAGAGTTAGCAAAATCCCATAGTTAGCTAATTTTTGCATAAGACCAGTGCTGGACCCTGTCTGGTGTGGCTCAGTTGGGTGGGCAACGGCATGTGCACCAAAAGCTTGCTGGTTCATTCCCAGTCTGGGCACATAAAAAATATTTTAATGACCCAGGACTGGGTCTGTAAAAAATGTTTTATTTTAAAAAAAGACCATGCCCTAACCGGTTTGGCTCAGTGGATAGAGCATCAGCCTGCGGACTCAAGGGTCCCAGGTTCGATTCCGGTCAAGGGCATGTATCTTGGTTGCGGGAATATCCCCAGTGGGGAGTGTGCAGGAGGCAGCTGATCGATGTTTCTCTCTCATTGATGTTTCTAACTCTATCCCTCTCCCTTCCTCTCTGTAAAAAAAAGACCAGTGCTGGACCCAGCAAGGAAAATTTTTTTTGTCTTCATCCTTGCCCATGTAATAGAAAGAGCCTTTCTGTCACTAGAAATTCTGACTAGCATGATTTGAGTGGCTATCTAGAAATCTAAACTCCACTGAAAATACTGGAAACTGAAAAATAATTCTCCATAAAAATAAAGACCAATTAGAACGTGACCTATTTGTAAATTGAGGACTGCCTATACGGTTGGTTGTTTTGTTTTTGGTTTTGTTTTTCATTAAAAAGCAAATCATCAGATGAGAACTCAGGTAGGCAATACTGCTATTAAGTGATCCCATTGGTAATGTTAGCCATTTTGCACCAATTATTTTCAAATTGCTGATGTCAATAAATTTTTTATTTTACCTAATAATCAGTTTATTTATTTTATTAGTATGTTATTATATACTTTACATTCTATTTATATTATAGGTAATACTTTGTATTTGTATATCAGATTTATATCTTTTTTCCACCGGGAGTCTTTTTAATAACTCCTTGGAGTTAATAAGATTATATTAAAGTCATATTTATTGTGGTGTTAGTTTTTAAATATAGCTCAGGACGATGCAAGATAATAGAGCATTGTTTGTATAGACATTGACATAAAAGTGAATACTTACCCATAAAAAAAATTTTAATTATTCTAGTCAAATTAGGGATCTCTCATCTTGACTATTTTGTTGCAGATATTTATTGTGCAGTGTCCACTATGCAGTATTCTATTTTGGAACTTTCCTTAACTGCTAATACATTTTGAAAATTAAAATGTTTGTACTTCACTGTAAAGCTGGTGGGACTGAAGATTAAAAGCAGTCTGAATGTTCCAGAAAGGCTTCGTAACATCCGTACCTTTTCTCTCTCACGCAGTGACTCCATTGCAGCTGAAGGAGGAGTTGATAGATGGAGAGGACTACAGTTTCCTGCAAGGAGCATCTGACCCGGAAAGCAATGGCTCTGCCAACTTCTACATCAAGCAAGAGCCCTGAGGGGCTCAGGAACGGAGGGTGGGAGGGAAGTTTCCACGGGACTGATTGTAGTCCACCCAGCTGTACGCGGGGCTGTTCTACTGGGACATTTTGCTAAACAGAAAATTTCAGTTCCAGATTTTTCAGGTGCGTGGGGAAACTATTTTAGTCGTGGGGGGAAATTTTTCAATTTATAAAGATGGACAATTTTTGTGTTGTATTTGAAGCTTTTGAAAGAATTTTGTAATATTTTACAC